GGTTAGAAACTGCGGGAAGACGGTTGTGAACCAAGGGATGATGACAGCCAGACCAGTTAATGATAATTAACATTTAATATTGTAGCATCAAAATTGTCAAAAGTTCTGTAAGCTGATCTCCGGTTGTTAAAGTATGAACAAAACAATTAGTTTAAATGGTCATAGAAAAAAAGACTACATCAGAAGGGGCGATCTCCCAGACGGGAGCCCCACAAAAATCTGGCAAACATAACTGTGCAATAGTTAAGCAGTTGGCAGAAGGTTGTCAAAGCACAGCGGAGCGACATGATTTTCCTTACAAAGCAGGGAAACAGCCCTGCAATAAGCACAGTTGGACAAAAAATAAGAACGCTGAAGGGTGTCTGTAACCAGACAGTAGCCACGTGATGTTTCCACGAATCTTGAAAACAAAGTTGCAATAGTTTGACAACCGATCAAATAAATAACTAATGTCGCGTTATTTTTGTGCTGAAAGGTATATATCGCGGGACATCATAAATTATGTCAACCTGGTGTGCGACACCCGTTTTCGCAGGTCAACCTGCAGCGTCGGAACTTCTTTTGATTTTCCTTCCATCCCTACTCCGGTAGGGAAACTTGTATAAAAAGGGATGATTGGAAATCAAGTCAGTCAAGACCAAAGACTCACCCCAGGACAGTGAACAGTCGACTCCAGGAGTCTATCCTGAACAGATGCAGTCATACTCGGTCTGGGACTCAACAAAGGAATTCAGCCACCCAGAGTCAGCGAGCATCAGCCGTTGCGATTCATCTCATTGATCAGGTCGACGGTCGAAAACCAAGGCGCTAGGGATGCTGTGGACGATGATCGTGGCGAGCGTCAGTTGGAGTAAGTTCCTTTGTTAATACACTCATTCCAGATTTAAAGTTGTCGTTCCTTTTTCAATTAAGATTTTGTTGTTTGTGTACATTTAAAAGATGGACTTGTGTTAAATTAAATGTTGAAGAATCTCTGGTTTATTAAATTCTAGAACCTCACCTTCTTCTACACAAGAATATATATTGAAGTGCATACGCCGACTACTCTCATCGCTTAGAGAAAAGCAAGTGAATATAGAGAGATTATTCGGCTGTCGTTTTGTACAAAAACTCCAAATTAACTCTAACTTATCTTCTAAGAAACATATTAAAGACAAAGCTAAAACAGCTATGTTTGCATTGAATGCCATCTTGTAAGTGGGTACTCACACACCCATCAAGCTCGGCTCCTTAAGCGTCTGTCGCATTCCACAAATAAAGCATGCAGCCCACCCTTACATTTACCACCTTATCCTTAGTATAAGTCTGTACTCCCTCTATCGTCTTAAGTGCCAAACTCAAATTATTTAACTCAAATTCTGGAGCAATTCTTTGCTACGCTTCAAAAGCTTTGGACCTTCAATACGCTCCAAGTGGAAAGGGTTCAATGGTGTTTTGCTCGTAAACTAATTAATTTTCCTTGTTTCTCGCCAACCTATATTACTTTATTAGAGACTGAGAGGGATCCAATCTTAAGGGAGTTGCTGGCTTGAGAGCTGGCCGCGAACGGCGGGTGCTGTAGCAGAGGTACACGCGGGTTAGGGTACCAGATCCTGTCTAAATATATATTTTGAATATATATATAGACGGGGGAGGGTGCATAACCATCTGTATTTTCGTTCCAGGTTCAAGCCGAGCTGCTTGGGTAAGGCGGTAGTGGTAAGACCCCTGGCTGGTACCTAGAGAAGAGACGTGTTTCATTCGTGGCCATGGACCGTGGTAACTGCGCATGACCTCAGAATATTCTCCCGACCTCGCGGGAATCGGTTGGATCGGATTGCCGAGAACGTATAGCCAGCGAGGAGCTATGATTACGCTGCCGGCGTCCACAGCTGCCTTTACCGTAGGCATGGTCTCCTCTAGGGGGTGGTTAGAGATTCCACTAAATTCAAAACCTCGGCCGGAGCGTATCCGGAGATTTCGTCGTTAGCGGAGCTCCTACACCCGGGGAGAGAAGTTGTCTTCTCTATCTAGGGAGTGCATGGGAGAATTGCTCAACCCCTTTTGGGTATCCCTTTACGCGCTGCACTGGTTAAGGCACAATGTTAACCCACCCCCTCGGAAGCGGCAAGAGGGAGAAGTCGACATGGCAGTTTGCTGCAGGATGATGTGGGCTTCTACACCGAACCTCACGGAAGCAGCAGATTTTCCGTGCGCGGAGGTGAGTCGCTCCTAATTTGAGAATCTAAAACGGCCTAATCGGCCAGGTGCGCACGCTAAAGAACCTCAATGTTACGTGACATTGCGACCCCAGTGGGAAACAAATAAGGAAAGGTATAATTAACAAATTAGTACAACTCTCGTGATAATTCGTAGCGGAGGGTGCCGGGACTGTCCAGCCTCCAGGTGGGGACAGCTGCCAATCCTTACTTGGCTGACCATTTGGTCAGGTGGGAAGAGCCCTGTTTTACAATCAAAGCCACTTGGTTACAGTTTATACTTTCAAAACTTACTTAAAATATGTTAGAATATTAACTTTACCATCTGTCAGGCTACCAAAGATTATGGTGCTCGAAGTATGGAAGGGTTATTATTTTGAGCTTCAACATGGAAAACTTTTAACACAAAAACATGATGCTGCTAATGCTATCCTTGACTCAATTTTAGTGGCCCCAAAAAAGTCAAATTCAGTCTTGATTCCTTGATAACAGTTGCAAAGGATTCCCTAAGAAAGGATTTACTGATCAGGTTGCGAACTTACACCATTATATGCAAAACAAAGAACCAACTCAAATTTGAAGTTCGATGGATCTAATTGGAGTATACCAGAGCTAGATTTACAAATCTGGTTCATGAATTTCATTTTTAAGAAAACCAAAGAAAGATTATATTTTTACTTTATTATTTTTTTTTTTAAGAATGTTGCGCGTGGTGTGGCACCTATTGATGATACAAGTTCCATCAGGTATGCGGCTATTGCCATGGGAGTCCCCTATGAAACTCTGCGAGACGCCATTAGACGTTTTCCAGAAAATGGGTCCTACCATAGTTAATTTATAGTTAATAGTTTCTGAACGCCCTAGGGTAACAGAGCCATAGGATGACCGTTTTTTGACATTGAAAATTTTACGAAACCGGCACTTTACTGTTGTTCAAGCGATTCATTAGCTCCAAGAACTTCGAGGTGTCCAAATTTATGAAAGCACTGCTCGAAGAAGATTAAATCAGTACGAACTGATGGCTTTTCGCCCCGTAAGAGGACCAGAATTGACCAGAACACGGACGCCGGGCTTTGGACGTGACTGGTGCGCCTTTGATGTCAATGTGATGTTTCACAGGATGTTTGGGTTATTGAATCATGGTAGATGGTCTAAAAAGATCTGGATATGCTCGTAATAAGGATGCGTATCTATGATCTAATAATACTGAATAAACAGTAGGCACAGAAATTGTTGTCCTCTTCCCTCTAGAAGTTAGACCTCTCACCTGATCCAACAGTTGTTGACCATGAATATCGACAAGAATATGTGATGGTATACTAAATCTGCCCCTGTAATTGGATGGCTGACCTCTGCAAGACCATTTGATTGCTTTGCGGATCCCAATGTTTAATGTTTTTTTTACTTCTCCGAAAGTCTTAATAGTGGAACCATTTGCTGCGTACAAAACAAAATCTGATATTTTTGTTTAATTCCGCCGCTCTACTGGGTAAACGTAAATGGTAGCTCTTATGTCTACCAGGTATCGTTGGCCACGAATATGTCAGATTGGGTTCAAATCAGGACTTCGAGCTGGCCACACCAAGCACTTAATTCCAATCTAATTCAGCTAGTCCTGGTATTATCCTGCATTAGCTAGAAAACCCACCGATGTGGGGGCAAATGGCACTAGTACCTGTGAGAAGTTAGAGATTGTCATCGCACAACAACCAATTCGGTGCGGTCGTCCAAGGACACGCCTTCCCAGAACATCAATGACCCACTGTAGAATGCCACCTGAGGACCATACAGCATGAGGCGTATCTTTCTCCTGCGCGACTCCATATCAAATTACACTCATCTGGAGATTTGAGGCCAATCTCACCTTAACTGTAAAAAGAACTCGTCCACAATGTTCCCGTGCGAATTAAAGCCCGGCCGTTTTCTGAGTAGTCGCAGATGTCGAACCGAGGTTATTTTCATTGAGCCTTCTTCATACAGAACTGGAAAAAAATCGGACTTAGACTATCAGATTTGTTCTAATTCTGCGGCCTGATGACGGATGATCATCTCGCTCGTCTGTAGACCTAGATGCAACCTGTCCTGGCCTTTTAGTGAAACCTTGTTTCTCTGAAGCGCCAAAGAGCGCTTTCTATTGTAGAGTGATTGACATTCTCTTGGCTACTTAGCGCTGTATCTTTCCTCTAAAAGTATTATGGCCCTGACACTATCACACTCATTCAAATGTCTGATGGCAGCCGAAAAATGTTTAAGAATAAGACTAATATCAAATGAAAATCAATGAAAGTAAAAGATTCTTTGAAAGCTATCTTTAGGCATAGCGGAATGGAAAGACATAATGCTACGTTTTGTGCAAATCGAATAGTACAAAAGTAAACAAAGCATTATTTACTCTTTATTTTGACTACGATAGCTCCTAATAGCCAGTAACTAAATATAGAAAAATTATTAATTAAATTTTAAGCTGAATACATTGAGTGAGCTTTAAATTTGTCCCGTATATTAAAAGCACCCCAGCCATATCAGGGGTTGCTTGGCCTTCCTTTTCTTAAACTTTGAATTATTTTCGGATATTTCTTTTTGTTTATAATTTAAAGCTTATAACTAGGTACGTTTATAAAAATTCATAGTATATTTTTGTTTAAAAAAATAAAATAAAATGAAAATTAAATAGGGGCACATGTCAAATATGTACTTATTGTGTACATTAGGAGTAAATGGAATGAGCCTATGCTAGGTGAAAACGTAGCTAGAAATGCGTGGAGGGGGATGAATATTTTCATTAAATACCAACAGCACCGGCATCGATAATCATTTGATGCTGAAAACCACTGTCCTTTCAAATGTCAAAAACAATATATTTGGCGTTTTTCCTCTTCGGCTGCCTCGCTATCACAGCCGAAGCCAGTGCAAAATCCAAGATCGTAAGTTATCAATTTAACCATGCATTTCCAAAATTTAAAATTAGTATGAATACGTACGTACAGCGACATTTGTAATCAATTTGATGTTACGATTTGTTAAGTTAGTTAAGTATAATTAAATTTGCTCTGGCCATTAAGATGGCTTGTACCAGCCAGAGTTGGGCAAAATCTAAATAATTCAATCATGATTGAGAATTTTGATTGAAGTTTAATCATGATTGAATTAGGCATGAGTAAATTAATCATTGTATGATTTAGTCATAACTCATGATTGAATTAATCATGTCTAAATCATATAATGATTAATTTACTCATGACTAATTCAATCATGATTAAACTTCAATCAAAATTCTTAATCATGATTCAATTAGTTAGATTTTGCCCAACCTTGATTAAGTTTGCTCTGGCCATTAAGATGGCTTGTACCAGCTGGGCATTCGGCAGATTTGCCGGTGTTCCATAGTGAAAGTGATCTTATTATATTGTTTTTCGTATCAAAATTTTTCTAATATGTTTGTGGTTGTATTTAAGTAAATATAATTATTTGTTTGTATTAATTACACTTGTTTGTGTTTTTATTTCCTTTATTACGGATATATATAATAAATCCTGTTCAATACGTCTCAATCTTATTTTCACCACGACCCAAATATATCCGGAAAAATTGAATTTAAAGAAATTAATGTCGTGAATGATAATTTCTCATGTTTCAACCGAGCCAATCGTTTTACAACTTGATTGCTATGCAATGCTTGGAGCCCCATAGTGCATGCTTCTAAGTATTAAACTACTTGTATTTTTTTCGTCAAAAAAGTAACATAATTGTGTGACTGAACAATCCCAGTGTTCATTCTACAGAGTCAAAAACGTTTTAATTATGCTAATTTATACAATATTGCTGATATATATTAATCATCGTTTTTGTTACAGCGAAGTTTTGTCGAAAAAGCTAAGCTCCTAGCGGGGTATGCTGCTTGCAAGATTTCATCAAAAAGCAGTCTGACAAATGGTAATTATTTACACAACCGATCTGTTAATCTCCAAGCGTGTCACGGTGTCTGTGCAAAAGCCCGAATATATTGGCAAATTTATAAATATTTACAACCATTATTATTTGATCTCAAGTATTTTTCTTAATGCTTGGAAAGCTGGAGGTTTTTAAAGGTGAAGGTTTACTACCTTCTGACGGTCTCAAGTATACCCTAAAAGGCAAAAAATTCCACCCAATGATTTTTTTTTCATTTTCTCGATAAAATAAAATTCTGCTCTTAATTTGTCTCATTGTGTTTACCAATAAATATTTGTTTATACTGTTTTAAATTGGGAATATCAATTAGAGGTAAACACAATCATTAATTTCACTAATTTCGTGGTCCGCTTGACTGTTGCTAGTCTGACTCCATTATTATTATTACAGTTAATTAAGGTTTTTAGTCGAGATAAAAAAGTCAATGGCACGAGCGGGATTCGAATTTTGAATTTTCCATTCTTTTTGCCATTTTTCAAATCAATTAAAAGGTACGGTTGAGATAGGAAGTTAATGTCCGAGCGGATCGAGGTCACGATAGTTCAAGTGGTAGAGCAGCGGCGTATCTAGCCGAAGATCGTGGGTTCGAATCCCGCTCGTGCCATTGACTTTTTTATCTCGACTAAAAACCTTAATTAATTGTAACAATCATTAATCCAAAAATCCAAAACAAGAATAAAAAAATTTTCAATGTTTATTCAGTCTCATTTGAATTGTAAAGCAATAAACTGTTTAGTTTTTATCTTTTTTTTCTTAATTTCAATTTTTAAACTTAAAAATGTCACTTAGAGCCGAGCAGAAACACTGCGGACGCCGTAAGATGTTTTCGAGAAACTGGGTTCTACCATAGAAGGCCCGGTTCTGGACGCCCTCGGGTAACAAGAACCACAGGATGACCATTTTTTGACTTTCAGAATTTTGCGAAATCGGCACTTTACTTTGTCCAAGCGATTCATTAGCCCCAAGAAGTTCGAGGTGTCCAAATTTCTGAACGCACTGCTCGAAGATTAAATCAGTTTGGACTGATGGCTTTTCACCCCATAAGAGGACCAGAATTGACCAGGACACACAATGTTGTTAGAGAACACAGACATTAGTCTTTGGACGATTGGTCTACTGTACTTGGTACAGATGAGCGCAAATTTGCTCTACGATCTCCAGATGGGCGTGAGACAAGGCGAAATGGAAGGTATGAAATCTGTAATTTTTCCCAGAGCCAACCATTTCAAGTGTTGGTGGGAGCTGGAATTTCAATGGAGGGTGGTACGGAGTTGGTTGTTGTTCGTGGAAGGTCTAACGGCCACTCGCTACGTGGGTGAAATTTTGGAACATCATGCGTTGCCTATCCTTGATGAAATCAGTGGCGGTCCTACTCTAATGCCCACAGTACAAACGTACCTTCAACAGCATAAAATCAGCCTGGCTAGCCCGTTCTCCAGACTTGAACCCCGTAGAACATTTATGGGATAACCTCAAAAGACGAATAATAGCACGTCCATCACTTCCTGATACTCTCCACGATCCTGAAAGGACTCTTCGTGAAGAATGGGCCAACCTCCAGCACAGAGACATTTCCAGACTTGTATGAAGTATGCTCAGGCGTCTTCGAGATGTAATTAAGGCAAGAGGAGAAAATAAGCGATATTGAAATGATAATTAAAACAAATTTTATTATTTTAAAAAAATATGCACTTATTAAACGTTAAAAAACGTGAAACTTTGATTAATATATAAAAATCAAGTTATATTACAAGTGGGTGGAATGTTTTTGCCTGTCAGTGTATGAAATAATCCCCCGAGGATAAATTTGTCATAAACTGCACAAAATTGTCATTAATTTAATAATCAAAATTTCAGATGAAAAGGAAGCATATAAACAGAATAGGACCGTCCCTTCCTCAGCAAAAGGCAAAGTAAGTAGGACACATTGTCACTCAGGTCTCATGTTATTCATGATGTTTTGTGTTTCAGTGCTTTCTTAAATGCCTGTTAGATAATGCACATTTGGTAGGTACTGCTCATTTAATATCGGTGTAAAACAATTGAATACTGTTGGATAATTATTGTCATGTTTAGCTTGAAGACAATGGTACATTCAACAAAGAAAATGGTGATGCGAAAGCAGATTATTATCTTAGCACTAATGCAACGCTATTAAATACCGCAAAACAGATTTCTCAACAATGTCCCAAAAACGGTAAATACGTGACATTTATAATGCATATAAAATTAATACACATTAATTATTGTTCATAGTAAAATACACCCCTACGGGAAAAGATGACTGTGAATATGCGTACAAATTAACTGTCTGCGCTGACGGTGTTGCCAAGACGGTATGATAATATCTCATTAAATTAAAACCCCACAAATAAATAAAAATCTAATCAGTTCCTACTTTGTCAACAGAATTTTGTATCTCTGTCCGATTTCAAAAAACATTTAGAAAAGTGATGGTAATGACCCTGAGAGAAAAAAGTGTAGTCAATTTTGTAGAATAAAATATATCACACCGATTTTGTTGTTTTATGAACAAATCCTGATTTCACTTTTAATGCTGGCATAGTTAAATAATAAGTTTTCTTGTAAAACGTGTCGATGAGAACATGTCCCGCTGTTGTATTAGGATTTCCCTTAACCAAATATTGGGTTGTCCGGAAAATAATGCAGGATTTTAGAAACTAGTTACTTTAAAGCAATGTTCTTTAATCAAAATAATTTCCCATACTCTCAATACATTTCTCCCAACGTGTTGGTAACTTATTAATTCCGTCTGAGTAGAATTCAGAATTTTTAGAATTGATAAAGTCAATAAATGCATTTTCCAGTTCCGTTTGATTTTTGAATATTATGTGTTGTAAGTAGTGGTCCAGGTGTCTAAAAAAATGGTAGTCAGTAGGCGAGAGGTCCGGAGAGTAGGGTGGGTGAGGCAAAGTTTCATAGCCAAGCTCCAATAATTTTTGTGACGTTACACGTGACACATGTGGTCGAGCGTTGTCATGCAACAAAATGGGCCCTTTCCGATTGACCAAAGAGGGCTTCATTACTGCCAATTTCTGATGCATGGTATTAATTTGGTTACAGTATGATTCAGCATTGATGGTTTCGCCAGGATTTAAGAAGCTGTAGTGTATTAAACCAAATGAAGCCCACCATACCGTAACCATTACCTTTTTTTGATGAGTTGGGGGCTTTGGAAAATGTATTGGAGCTTCTCCTTTGTCGAGCCACTGTCCAGAATCCACTTTTCGTCACATGTAACAATTCTGGCCAGAAATGGGTCATTTTTGTTTCGACAAAGAAGTGATGCACAAACATCAAAGCGCTGATTTTTTTGGCGATCGTTTAATGAGTGTGGAACCCAATTTTCGAGTTTTTTCACTTTTCCAATCGCCTTGAGGTGGTCAGCGACGGTCGTTTTACTGACTTTGAGTTGCTCTGCAAGTTCTCGAACAGTTGTTTTGGGGTTTTCTTCCACCACTGATCGCAGAACATCATCATTAAGAGAGGAAGGCCTTCCACGACCTTCTTCATCTTCAAGGCTGAAATCTCCCTCCCGAAATTTTTTAAACCACCTTTGCACAGTGCACTCATTAACACAACCCTCGCCCCAGACTTGGTTAATGTTTCTAGCCGTTTGGGCTCCGCTTCGGCCGAGTTTAAACTCGTAAAAGAAAATCGTACGAAATTCTCGCTTTGACATTATAAGGATGACTGAATTATTTCCAAGTAGCGGAATGCTACAGAGGTAAACAAACAATATCATTTGGAAGAGGATTAATAAGTGTTGACATTCATACAAATGAGTAATCCTGTAAACGTAAACAGAATATTTTATATAGATTTTTTTTAATGAAAACTTAAAATCCTGCATTATTTTCCGGACAACCCAATAATAACAAGAACAGAAAATAAAACTAATATTAACATTACCAAATGTCTAAAAATGAAATTGGTGTAGGGTGTGGGATATTTGCTGATGAGTACAACCTCAGCTGGTCTCTATTGAATGAGGATGAACTTCATGCAATCAGAAGATCATTGAACATTATAAAAGAATCGCAAGGAATCTGTAATGCCATTATTTGCTCTGATTCGAAAAGTGGTCTCGAACAATCAAAAATAATTTCTCCATTGACCTGTATATCTTAGAAATTCACAAATATCACAAAATCAGAACACTTAAGAAGCATGTAGTATTCGTTTGGGTTCCTAGTCATGTCGGCATTTCTGGAAATGAAAAAGCTGATCAACAGGCAAGGAACGCTGCAAACCATCCACAAAGAACAGATCAATTTCCCCTCCGCCCAGATGATATAGTCGTTTATGTTAGAAACATTATCAAACGAACGTGGACAAGATGGAATGTATGTAGAGATAGTTTGAAAGAAATTAAGCCAGTTGTACATAAATGGCCAACTGAGGAACTTGAGAGAAAAGAACTTGTGATTCTCTCTAGATTGCGAATAGGTCATATCAGGCTAATCCATAATAGGCTTTTAATAGGCAACAACCTTCCAACTCGATGTATTCAAAGTGGAGAACGTATCATTCTGACAGTAAAAAATATTTTGGTCGACTGTCCCACTTTGCAACCCTTCAAAGGCTCAACCTTTCGAGTGATTTACAGGAGTTACTGGGTCCCCAGTGTTTCTTTCGAAAAGCAATTTTCAGCTTTCTCAAATTTATTGGAATTTATGAGATTTAGGCCTTTTCCCAAATTGTTACACCATTGAATGTTTGCCTGCTAATGTATGAATGAGAGTTGTGCGTGCAAGATTTCTTTTTTTTTTCAGGAAAACTGAAATGCCCAAAATCGCAATTTGAATAAGAAAGATAGCTGCCTCAAAAAAAACAAAAGTGTTATTGTGTTTTGTTTCTTATTATTGTTATGTAGAATTAGTTTATTTATCACACTTGAATGGAAGAATAAAAGGATAAGGATGAGCCTACACTCATGTTGAGACTGACTCCATTATTATTATTATTATTACAATTAATTAAGGTTTTTAGTCGAGATAAAAAAGTCAATCGCACGAGCGGGATTCGAACCCACGATCTTCGGCTAGATACGCCGCTGCTCTTCGACTTGAGCTATCGTGACTTCGATCCACTCGGACACTAACTTCCTATCTCAACCGCACCTTTTGAATTTTCCATCCTTTTTGCCATTTTTGAAATCAATTAAAAGGTGTGGTTGAGATAGGAAGTTAATGTCCGAGCGGATCGAGGTCACGATAGCTCAAGTGGTAGAGCAGCGGCGTATCAAGCCGAAGATCGTGGGTTCAAATCCCGCTCGTGCATTGACTTTTTATCTCGACTAAAAACCTTAATTAATTGTAATATATTAATTGGTCAAGCGGACCACGAAATTAGTGAATTATTATTATTAGCAATACAAGCCTACGGGAAATGTTTAAATTATGGAACAAAAATTCAGAATTCAACAATTATGGAACAAAAAAAATGTGCTTTTTGCATACATTTGGCCTTCCAAATTAAGAATTTTAAAAGGATAAATTAAAGCTTGGATGGCAATAGGATAAATTAGTTTACGAGTGAATCTTTGGAGTCAGAGCTTTATAGCACAAAGAAGGAATATAGCTAAACTAAGATAGAAGGTTTGGGATGTTAGGGCGTGAAATGACAGCCGTTAAAACGCCCTTAAAAATTAATAATAATAATAATAACATTACCAAAGATGAATCGCCAAAAGGATTACAGTTTAAATGGAAATATAGATGAATAAGTTATTTATAGATCGTGAGATGCGGTCTGTCGATGAGATGCGTTCACCATCTCTAAACAATCATAAATTTACGGAAACTAAATCCTATGCAGGATACATTGATTTAAACAAAACTTCTTCGTAATTTTAAGTACTAAAAAAAGAGTAGGAACAGGGAAAATTCATCTAGGATGGCATGAACAGGAATGTTTGAGGGCCCAAAAAATTAACTTAGAGATATTAGGTATACAATATAAGGTTACAGTCTTCTGGTCTTCAACGAAGAAGCGGATGCCCTCGCAAGGAAAGTTGCTACAATTCCTCTGATAGGTCCTGAGCCCTTTTGGGGCATAGGTATGAACACTATATATATAATTCACTAATTTCGTGGTCCGCTAGACCAATTAATACATTACAATTAATTAAGGTTTTTAGTTGAGATGAAAAAAAGTCAATGGCACTAGCGGGATTCGAACTCACGACCTTCGGCTATATACGCCGCTGCTCTACCACTTGAGCTAACGTGACCTCGATCCACTCGGACATCAACTTCCTATCATCGGACATACCCCCACCTTATGAGTTTTCCCTCCTTTTTGATCGAGGTCACGAGCTCAAGTTGTAGAGCAGCGGCGTATCTAGCCGAAGATCGTGGGTTCGAATCCCGCTCGTGCCATTGTCTTTTTTTCATCTCAACTAAAAACCTTAATTAATTGTAAATTATTATTTATGAGAAAGCGAGAGAACGGAAAACCTGGCTAGGTTAGACCCTCTCCCACCATTTTTCAAAAGACTCATACACGGACTCAGACTCGGGGTTGAACCGCATCTTAATCACGACCTCGTCATAATTTTTATTTTACAATTTATTCACTTTTATGTAAAGTTAATTGTAAACTTTCATAATATATAATAAATAAATCTATTTTAAAAACGAGTGTCGTTGAGTCAAATTTATAACTGGCGCAGTCGAATTGGACTAGATTCACGGGAACAGTGCACATTTTACCGCGATCTACAAGACCTACCAGATCCTTCTTGCTGTGAAGAAACTGTGATGTGCAACTCTGCAATCTACGTTCTGTAAGTTTAATTCACAATTGAGCAATTAATCACACAATTAAACAACTTTCTATAACAGACATTAGTTTACTTAATATGGGGTCGCTAACAGAAATAAAAGTACTCAATTAATTGTACACAATTTTTTTGAGATTTGAAATGAGGAAAATTTTTTCCTTTTTTTTCACAATTTTTTTTCGAAATCGGGAAGTCGAAATGAGAAGTTTGTGGCATGGGCGATCGAAGTCACGATAGAGCAGCGGCGTATTGAGCCAAAAGCCGTGGGTTCGAATCCCGCCTGTGACACGGGTTTTTCATTTCGAAAAAATTTATGTACAATTAATTGAGTATTTGTATATTTAAATAGAAGCTGATAAAATAATTAAAAATTTAGAAATAAAAGTATTCACTGATATTATTCCGAACTATGACGGAAATCCGACAAAAACTAGCACATTTTATCAAAGAAGTCGAAGAAGTAACTTCAATTTTGAATTCGATCGTTCCCACAATCAGCGAGCTTGCAAAAAGAAGTGCTTTCCGCGCGATTAAAGGAAAATTGATCGGAAGAGCGGCAGAAATCCTCCAAGATTCAGATTTTGCAGATTGTAATACATTAAAAAAATTTCTAATAAAAAATTCTCATGGTTCATTGTTCGAAATATTAAACTCTAAATGCACAAAAGATCCATTAGACTATATTAAAGAAATAATAGAAAAGTTCGG